ATGGATGGATGGATGGATGGGGGGATGGATGGATGGATGGATGGGGGGATGGATGGATGGATGGATGGGGGGATGGATGGATGGATGAATGGATGGATGGATGGTTGGATAGATGGATGGAAAGATACAATATGGGTGGATGGGTGCCTGTTCCCAACACACCCTGCACTGTCCCTTCTCCATTGCAGCCCCAGCTCCACCAGAAGAGGAGGAGGAGGAGGAGGAGGAACCTCCATCCCAGCCCCACCTGGGCGACCTCACAGCCTCCCACATCACCCCCAACTCCATCCAGCTTGACTGGACCGTTCCCAAGGGCGCCTTTGACTCCTTCATGGTGCAGTACGAGGATGAGCAAGGGCAGCCCCAGGTGGTGCCCGTGGACGGCGAGTCCCGCACGGTGACCGTGCCCGACCTGGTGCCCTCCCGACGCTACAAGTTCAACGTGTATGGGATGTGGCAGCAGAAACATGTTGGTCTTATCTTCACTGAGGCCATCACAGGTGAGACCGCCTATGGGATCCATTTCCGTTCACTCTGTGTCCTGGATTTGAAGTTGGACAACCCTGGGCATTGTCCGTCCCGGTCCCCTTAGGTTTGCACTGGATAATGCAGCTCCAGGTGGCTGGTTGTTGGCAGAAACGGTGGTTGGGAAGATGTTTGGTTGGATGGAGGAAGGGTGGGATGAAGAGTTGGATGAATAGATGGGTTGCTTAATGTGCAGATGGATTCATGGGCAGAGAAGATGGGAAATCCGTTGGGAAAATCCAGATGGGTGGATGTGCAGAGATGCGTTGGTGGATGGGCCAGTGGATGGAGATGCCAATGGATGGATGTCAACGGCGACTCGTGTTGTGTCCTCTCCGTTGCAGCCCCGGCCTCACCAGAGGAGGAACCTCCATCCCCGTCCCAGCTGGGCGAGCTCACGGTCGCCGGTGTCACTGGTGACTCCGTCCAGCTGCAATGGACGGTCCCCGAGGGCACCTTTGACTCCTTCGAGCTGCAGTACATGGACACCCAGGACCAAGCCCGGGTGGTGCCCGTGGACGGTGGATCCAACATGGTGACCGTGTCTGACCTGGCGCCCTCCCAGTACTACCAGTTCCACCTGTACGGGGTGTGGGGGCAGGAACGCCTGGGCCCCGTCTCCACTGATGTCATCACAGGTGGGGGTGGCCAAGGGCATCGTCCCTGTCCTGTCTGGGCCTTGGTTTTGGGGTTGGGATGCAGAGTCCATCCATGGCCCTTTGTGGCACGTGGGGGACAGCAGCATCTCTTGGCCCCTCCGTTGGTGATGGGGCCTGCGAGGCTGGAGGGAAGAATAGATGGGTGGATGGTGCTGTGAGGACCCGGATGGGTTGGGGCCCATCCATGTGTTGGGAGGTGGGAAGACACCTGGACCAAAAGCTGGAGGGCAGGATGGGGAGTTGATCTGGTAGTGGGATGGATTTGGGGAGAGAGGGTTGGAGGGATGGTTGGATGGGCAGATGTTTCCGTGGCTGGATGGAGTCATGGATGGTTGGGGGGACAACTGGATAGACAAAGGTCCTTATGGGTGGGAGGAGGGAATCATGGAGCTCCGGCCTGAGGAATGGATAGAGGGGCTTGGAGGGGTAGATGATGGGGTGGGAGGAAGGCTGGCGTGGACAAACGGAAGGGAGGAAGGAGGGAAAAGAGGGATGGAGGAAAGGAAGGAAAGGAAGGAAAGGAAGGAAAGGAAGGAAGGAAGGAAAGGAAGGAAAGGAAGGAAAGGAAGGAAGGAAGGAAAGGAAGGAANCCCGTGGACGGCGAGTCCCGCACGGTGACCGTGCCCGACCTGGTGCCCTCCCGACGCTACAAGTTCAACCTGTACGGGGTGTGGGGACGGAAGCGCCTGGGTCCCATCTCCACTGATGCCTTCACGGGTGAGAGCAACCATGGGTATCAGCTTGGACCCTGCTGGGCCTTGGGGTTGCATCAGGGCAGGAGCTTGGCCAAGGAGAAGGTCTGGGGTGATGAGTGGGGATGGATGGAGGAATGGGTGGATGGATGAATAGATGGATGAGTGGATGGGTGGATGGATGGATGGATGGATGGATGGATGGATGGATGGATGGATGGAAGGGTGGTTAAGCAGGTGAAGAAATGGGAGGATGGAGGTGGAGGCAGATGATGCTTCTGCACTATCCTCTCTCTATTGTAGCCCCAGTCCCACCAGAGGAGGAGGAGGAGGAGGAACCTCAATCCCGGCCGCAACTGGGTGATCTCGTGGTGTCCCACGTCACTCCTGATTCCATCCAACTTGATTGGACTGTCCAAGAAGGCTCCTTTGACTCCTTCACGGTGCAGTACAAGGACGCCCAAGGGCAGCCCCAGGTGATCCCTGTGGATGGTGAATCCCACACGGTGACCGTGCCCGACCTGGTGCCCTCCCGACGCTACAAGTTCAACCTGTACGGGGTGTGGGGACGGAAGCGTCTGGGTCCCATCTCCACTGATGCTGTTACAGGTGAGGGTGGCTGAGGGCATCGTCATTGTCCTCTCTTTGCTCTGGTTGTTGAGTCCATTCGGACCTTTGCGCAAGTGGGGTCAGATCTTGGATGTTCCCCTGATGATGAGCACAGGAGCCTGGCTGGAAGGACAGGTGGGACAGAGTTTGGAATGAAAGGTTGGGTTGGATGGGTCTCATGTTGTCCTCTTGGACCAACGATGGGAAGACAGGTGGATATCTGGGTTGATGGATGGGTGAGTGGATTGTTCGTTGAATGGTTGGGTGGATTTTTGTGTGAAAGAATGGATTTTGGAAAAGATGTTTGTTTGGATGGACATGTGGAAGCAGAGAAGACCTGGGTGCTAAAGGAGTGGAAATGGGTGATGGGATTTGTGGAACCCTGGATGAAGGGATGGGAAAAGGTCTCCATAAAGATGAAAGATGGGCTTGATGGAGCAGTGGATGGAGAGGCAGATGGATGGGTATTCTGGGAGAACAAGGATGGAGGGAGAGTTCTCTGAATGTGTGGTCACGTGGATGGACGGTTGGGTGGGTAATTGATGGAGAGAGGGATCTCTAGAGGGATCTCCCTCCACACTGACCTCTGCATGGTGACCTCCCTTTGGCAGCCCCGACCATGCAGAAGGAGAAGCCGCCATCGCAGCCCCACCTGGGTGAACTGACGGCCTCTCCTGTCAGCCCAACCTCTGTGCAGCTTGACTGGACCATCCCTGAAGGCACCTTTGACTCCTTCATGGTGCAGTACAAGGACGCCCAAGGGCAGCCCCAAGCGCTTGTTGTTGACCGTGGGTCCCGCACGGTGACCGTGTCCCACCTGGAGCCATCCCACCACTACAAGTTCAACCTGTACGGGGTGTGGGGACGGAAGCGCCTGGGTCCCATCTCCACTGACACCACCACAGGTGAGGGCGGCTGCCGACATTGTCCCTGACACCACTGAAAGTTGGTTAGGTGTAGAAGACACGTGTGGCCATGACCCATCCAGGTCCATTTGGGTCACCTAGGAAAGGGGAAGAAGTCCGGGGTGAGGAATTGGGTTGCAGGGAGGGATGAGTGCATGGGAGGATGGGGTAAGGGTGGGTGGATTGATGAAGGCATGGATGGATGGATGGATGGATGGATGGATGGATGGACGGATGGAAGGGTGGTTAAGCAGATGAAGGAATGGGAGGATGGAGGTGGAGGCAGATGATGCTTCTGCACTCTCCCCCGTCCATTGCAGCCGCAGTCCCACCGGAGGAAGATGAGGAGGAGGAGCAGGAACCTCCATCCCGGCCTCAACTCGGCGACCTCACTGCCTCCCACGTCACCCCAACCTCCATCCAGCTCCAATGGACGGTCCCCGAGGGCACCTTTGACTCCTTCACGGTGCAGTACAAGGACGCCCAAGGGCAGCCCCAGGTGGTGCCCGTGGACGGCGAGTCCCG